CTCTCTCTCTCTCTCTCTCTCACACACACACACACACACACACACACACACACACACACACACACACACACACACACACACACACACACACTCTGTGGGTCACCTTGGCCCCTGCTCCAATCTATTCTGCGGAGGAACTGGAACACACCATGCTACTCACAGAACAGACTCAGAAAATCACAAATTGGAATTGGAAGTCTTTGCACATCTTGAACTGCAAATTGGAATTTGAACTCTTTCCACAAATTAGAGGTATAGATAGATGCGAAGGAAATGATGGGGGATTTCAGAAAATACCAGTCAGCAAAATCAGACCAAAAGAATTCATAGATCCCGCGCCCAGCCTCGCCAAAGTCGAACTTTTTGTACGCTGTAGTTGTCGAGTGGACTAGAAGATGCAGCTTGCTTATCTGATACCATCAGGCAGTAAACACCACCAAGCAAACACCATGCCCGAGGACCTTAGGGCGTCCTCACATGAGGACTATCCTGGATGCATCTGACTGCAATTACTGTCAAATTCAGTCCAAAGACTCCAAACAGTTCTATTGCCTGTATGAAAGAAAGCAACTCAGGGAACAGTCTTCGCAAGCAAGTCACAGCATACATTCAGCCGGTACTCACACACACACACACACACACACACACACTTTTCTGCATGTATCTGACTGACGTTACAGCCCGCCATCATCAGCGTCATGGCTGTATCTGACCACACTTACGTCCAGAGCTGAGTCGGAAAGGGTCCTAGCATGAGTATGCCCTCGGTTATTTTTGAGAAGAATTGAAAAAGCTATCAGGACATCACCGAAAGACAGCCAACGAAACTCAGCGATAAAAATGGCGCAACATCCCGGACACATTTCCCCCCCTTGCAAGTTGCGCCCTTTCCTTTTCTTCTCAATGCATGGGACCAAGGGCACAACTGTGAGCATCACCTGAAGAGCACAGCCAAAGCATTTCCGCCAGGGAGTCCAGGACAGAGAAAAGAACGGAAACAAGTTTTCAAACTTTCTTTTCCCACCAGGTAACCAGGGACAGAAAAAAACACTACAAATGTACTAAGTTTTTTTGAACATTTTTGAAGTTTCTTCCCACCAAGGACAGAAAAAATAGCAAGCATTTTCTCCAGGGAGTCGGTGACAGAAAAGAGTACCAACTACAATCTTTTCAAACTGTCTTTTCCCACCAGGGACAGATAAAACACCACTACAAGTCTACAAGTTTTTCAAACTTTTTTGAAGTTTCTTCCCACCAAGCACAAAAAAAATACCACTACAAGTTACGATACCAGGTTGAGGACCTGGGCTGGCTCTGTCTGCCTGGCAGTTTTGGTCTGACAGTGGGGTCCTTCTCCTCCCGGCAGGCCTGTTCATGTCTTGCCAGGCTTCATGTGTTCGGACCCTGATCTCTTCCTCCATAACCTGCTGTGCTTGAGGCAGGTCGAACTGGTGGTCTTTCCTTTCAAAGGCGCACCTGGCCCTCCATGTGAGCATCGGCACTTGCAGGCGCATGTAGGCGAAGAGGTTGGAGGCGAAGGGAGAGCAGTGCACCATGGTTTTTGCCTAGAAAGATGTTACATGCACAGATATGCAATGTACGTAATAAACCGAGAATCTGCAATGTGATGAAAAGGACTGAATAGACAATGCGGTACGAGTAGAATCTCGACAAGCAATGTACATTCTCATTCATACATAAAGATGCTGAAGAGCGCAGGGAAGACTTTGATACAAAGACTGACCTGACAGGACTGACCTCATTCACGTAGTTCAGAGTAACGAAGCAGAATGCTAGAGTACCTCTAACTAGCCCAATCAATGTTTGAACTCAAACTAAACATGCATTGTATCCATCACGAAGTGTGAAGGAGCCTGGCGCTGCACACAGGAAGAAAGCGCCAGGTCCAGACATACACAGACGAAGAGATAAGGGACAGGCGAAAGGAGGGAAGAAGATGGGAATGTCGTTAACACCAAGTCTTGGTCACCAATCCCAAATAGTCCCTCGTTGCCATGTCTGAATCCCCGAAAGTCGAGTCTGGATCAAATGTCACCAAGCTCTGTATCTCTTCTCTCATAGTCTGCAGATGCAGTGAAGTCAGAAGTGAGAGGGAGAGAAGAGATGGGGGACCGAGAAGGAGAAGAAGAAGAACTCTCTCTCTCTCTCTGTTGCGAACCAAGTACTAACCTGTGATGTTGGCGCTGTGCTGCAGGTACCTCAAAGACGAAGCTGGAGCAACGGCGCTGCAGGTAGGTGCCTCTGGCCTCCGCCCAAGCTCTCTCTCTCTCTCTCTAGTACTAACTAGCTATGGCGCCCAGCGCTGGAGACTACAGCTACCTACTGCGCCCAGCGCTGAAGACTACAAGCTAACGCTACTACTCTACACTGCAGCGCTCCCTCCAGAGTGCTGCTCCCGAATCCTGAAGACTACAACTGCCGAACTGCCTACCTTGGAAGTGCCTGGGAAGTCCTATGCACTACCTCGACCTGCCTCCTCACTACTGGAGGGCAGTCAGGCCGAGGAGGCAGCTCTTGCCAATGCCGAAATATGCCTGGGGCTGGCGTGCAGCAGCCTGCTTGAGGCTGGCGTGGGAAACAGACTAATAATAGTCTGTTTCCGAAACCCTGGTTCGGTGCCTGAGTTTCAGGGCCGGTCGTTCTGATGAACGACCGAAAATGGCCCTTCGTTTCAGGCTAAAAAGGCTGTTGCCATTTTTAGTCTGAAACGACCAGGGATAGGCCCTGGACTTCAGGCTTTTGGCCTGAACCGACAGGGGGCCTGTAAGCCCTGGATTTCAGGCTTTCAGCCTGAACGCTGTCGGGCCTGCAAAATGGCCGTCGGGCCTGCAAAATGGCCCGTGTGTGCACGCGCTGCATGTAACAAAGAGGAGACCCAGGTCCCACGGTATATGGTGATCTGTGAGGAAGTGGAAGGCTGCGTCGCACCACTGCCGTATTAGGGTGGCCATTGGGCACGGGAGGAGGCAGTGTTCCAGTGTTGCCCTGGCTGGCGGGGTCGCCCCGCCACAGTAGGAGCAAACGGGGACAGCAGGCCTTTGTGTTTCAGGTTTGTTTTTGAAACTAGCCAATCCGAGGTGGGGAGACACCGATGCAGAATCTGCCATTGCAGGGATCTGAGGTTGGTTGGCATTATCTTGGAGTATTTGGCCCACGGAAGATTATGCATCAGATGTGCATCGATCGGCGAATCCCATCCCCATCTTTGGGTTAACCAAATCTCTTCCCAGAAAAAAATACCATTGCACATCTTTCACAGAATCGGACTTGGAAATTGACACATGGACACATCATGGAAAAAAGAGCTGCCACATCAAAGGCTTTAAGAGGGGTCTCGAAACGAGCACTTCTGTTTTCACAAACTAGCTTCTTCCCCGGAACTTCTTCTTTTTTTTCTTTTTTTTTTTGCCAAAATCCCGTGCCATCAGATAGAAGTGATGATAAGAGCATACACTCCTACCTGACTCACTGGGGGCTCCATTCTATTGGTGGGGAGCTGCACCTGCTGGAAAACGGGTCCAGCGTCCCTCGAATTACAATGAAAGAATAATGGTACAGCAGGGATAGTGGTACAGCACATGCTGGGAACCGGGCCCAGCGTCCCACATTTACAGCTACTGATTCTCTGATACTATAGGTTGGTGATGTTGATGATGATGATGATGATG